GCCCCAAGAGCCCCCAAGTGGTCCGACGAGGCTCCCATAAGCCTCCCAAGTGGCCCCAAAAGGCCCCAAGGAGACGTACAAGGGGCCCCAAGATTGACCAACAGTGCCCTCGATGCATCAAAACTGTCTGCAGGAGGCCCCTGGGAGGCTTCCGGATTGCCTCAGTGTGGCCCCAGGCGCCCTCAAGTCGAGCCTCCACGCAGCCAAGACGGCCAATGACGGCTTCAGATTACAGAACATCACCTTCCGATTGCCCGGAGAACCCCGACGATGCCCCCAAGAGAACCCAAGAAGCCCCAAGACCCCCCCCAAGAAGCACCCGAGAGGTGCCTCCAACAGCAAATTGAGGAAGCACAGAGAAACCCCCAGAAGCCCTTCAGATGCCCCCACGAAGATCCAAGAGGTCCCCAAGAGGCCCTCAGAAGGCACGACTATGTCACGCGCCTGTGCTTGATAGCGCTGTCCAAGATCTTCCAGCGCCCCCTCGGCCTGGGCTAGAACTTGAGCTCACCCGAAGCGCGCGCGATGGTTCTAGCATGCATGTTTGCATGCATGAGTGTATGTGTGTATGTCTGTATGTATGTATGTATGTATGTATGTATGTAGGTAGGTAGGTAGGTAGGTAGGTAGGTAGGCATGTATGTATGTATGTATGTGTTTGTGTGCATGTATGTTGTTGTATGCGTGTCTGTATGCATACATGCATGTCTACATCTATGCATGCATTGCTGTATGCATGATTGCACGGATGCACATCTGTATATACTTATGTTTATTTATATATCCACGAATATGTGTATATACATAGACGTACATGCATGTATGGATGCATGCGTACATGTATGTATGTGTGCATGTACGTATATACATATATGTGTATATGTATATATATGTATACACGTATACGTGTGGATGTGTCTGTGTGTGTATGTATCTACGAATGTAGGTATGTATGTAGACACGTAGGTATGTACGTGTGTATGCATGTATGTATATGTGTATGTATGCATGTATGCATGTCTGCATGTATGCATGTATGCATGTATACATGTACGTATGTATGCATATATGCATGTATGTATGTCTGTATGGAGGTGTGTGTGTCTATATCTGTATGTATGCGCGGGTGCATGTCTGTATCTATGTATGTATGTATGTAGGTAGATATATAGGTAGGTATGTGTGCGCATTCATGTATGTATGCATGTTGGCAGGTATGTATGTCGGTTAAAAAATAGGGGGAGTCACGCAGCATCGCCCTGGGCGATGATCAACACATTGTATTCCAGGCCTGCTCGTGGGCGTCACCGTCGTCATTGAGATTATGATATGATTTGATCGTCCTCTCCAAGATGTTGCGGCAGAAAGCTATGCTTCAATATATCCATTGGTGCTTTTACTGTGTCTGAGTCGTCATCTTACATGCATGCCAGACACCGTCGCGTCTCGAACAAAAACCACCGCAGAAACTCGTTGGCCGTTGCGGGCCTTCCCTGGAGGCCTTTGCCAGGCCTTGGTCACCAAGCGCGCTCCACCACTCACGAGGTGCCTACTCGCAGACGTCCGAACAAAAGCACATGTCCGCCTCGATGAAGTAGATCGGGCCCCTCCACTAGACTCCCAACGCCACCCCCAAAAGCCTCATCGACCTTCAGAACCGCATCGATTCCCAAAAACCTCATCGATCCTCCAAACCTCATCGATCCTCGAAGCCTCATTCAGCTCTCAAAAGCGTGCATAAGCTCATCGACCCTCGATCCTCCTGCTTCGATCCTTGCTTTGCAGGGGGACGCGGTGACCCCACCCAGTGGTGACCCCCTTTCGGCGCTTCCTCGACGACGTACAACGAATCGCGACGTTGGGGGGCTGGCGGACGACGCGCCAGACAGTGGCAAGAGATAGATCGGTTTTCGCCCGGCATGTCGCAGCAACGTGGCAGGGCAGCGCCGCCGCCCCGCGTCGATCCCCAGATCTTCGACGTCTCGATTTGTTCATTGCGTCGTCTCTGGGTTTCATGGCCCAGCGAGGGCCCCCCAGAGGCCGAGAGCGGGGCACAAACTCCTTGATTTGTGTAAGCACGTCGGAGAGCCTGGAGTCCGTCCAACTTGCCCCCTTCCCTCTTCCGGGGCGGGGGAGATTACCGCTTGGGAGATCGATCTTTTGGAAATTCGGCAGGCGCTGCCTGCCGACTGCACCCATATCCACCGCCTGCCGCAGGCGGTGGATATGGATGCATTCGGGCCCGGGGGAGAACAAGTTGTATCCATGCCCACCGACTGCCGAGGTTCCCGAAGATCGATCCCCCAGGCGGTGGTTAGGGATATCTTTCCACCTCGCATCCCAGCTCCCATCCCTCCCGTACGTGGACATTATATTCGAACCCTGTGGCCCAAGACGCCCCCAAACCCACCGAAATCAATATTCAGGGCGCTGCGCAGGAGGGGGCGTGAGTGGACAGAAATGTTTGAACCCCCAAAGCTCCACCTTTCTGAGATCGACGCTGATTTCGGGGGCGGGAGGGGTGATCGGACATCCCCTCGAACATGTCAGTGCTCGGATCGTTTGTCCGTCTGCTGCCCCTGCCCGCGCGCCGGCGCGCGCTTCCGCTCTGCCCCGCCCCGCCCCCCCCCCTCCCACCAACAAAGCGCGCGCCGCAGCCCCACTCGTGCGCGAGGGCCCCGAGGCGCCCAGGCCGCGCGCCAGCGCGGGGATCGCCGCCCGGATTCCCCAGACATCTGGCGGGCCGATCTTGTTCGAGACTTGGGCCCCCGATGACCTCGAGCCTGTTGAGGTCCAGGCAAGTTTACTTGCATAGCATTCGCCCCCCCCCCCCCGCCCTCACCCCCGCCCCCCGCCCCTCTTCAAATGAACACTAGCGTGCAAGTGCCTTTCGACATGCGTGATGTCCGCACGTGCTAGTCGTTTGCGGCCGGCTTCAGGTTCAGCCCCCCTCCGTCCATGCAAGTAGACTTGCCAGAGTCTTTGAAAAATGCTCCTCCCGACCGCTTCCCCGGGGCCGTCGTTTCATCCCTGGTCGATTTCGGACGGTCCCGTGGCACGACGACGGCGTCCTGAAGCATCAACGTTTCAAATGACACCCTTGCGGCAGAAGACAACGAAAACAGTTTTACACGGTTGTACCATGGAGGCCACGAGGTTGGTCCACGATGGAATGCCACGATGAGAGGATCGACATTGGCACAGAGCTAAGAATAGGGATGCAGGGTTGTAGGGATACAGGAACAGGGACTTCGGGATAGGAATGTGGGGATAGGGTTACGGCTAAAGGATAGGGGCAGGGGTAGGGATTGTGACCAGGCTGCCCCAAGCCGCAAGCCGTGTCGCTCCCTCCCACCCGCCCTCCCAGTACACAAGTAGCATTCAGGTATCAGCACAGGCAGGGGCTGCCATCGCTGACCATCGGCAGCAGAGGCAGACGCCAGCCAGGCGCGCCACGCCCGCGAGGTTCGCCGCACGTGCCTGGCGCACAAGGTGCGCCACTGAGGGCGGCACGTCGACCGCACCACCACCCCTGCCGAAAATGAACGCGGAGTGACGGCGGGTTTGTGAACATTGTGTCTTGTGTGTGTGTGTGTGTGTGTGTGTGTGTGTGTGTGTGTGTGTGTGTGTGTGTGTGTGTGTGTGTGTGTGTGTGTGTGTGTGTGTGTGTGTGTGCAGGTGTCATGGCGGAAGTCTTCCGCCTCTGAGTGCTCGCCCTTCTCCCCCACCTTTCCCCTCCTCCTGCACGCTGGCCACTTCGCTCTGTAGTGCCCCTGCACCGCTACCACGCTGGAGCGGATTGTCCCGCCTCGCCGCCGACGAAACAAGTATGTGCAGGCGTGCACCCGCCACCACTGTGCAATTTGACAGGCGCAGTCGGCCTGCGCACATCATGCAGTATGCCGCCCCCCAAGCCGTCCCTGGCAAGGTGACGCTTGCATCTTCCGTTGACAGGGACGGCGGGCCTGCACGCACCAGGCAGTATCTTCTGGCCCCCCCGCGCCCCTGTCAGAATCCAGTGCGAAGTGTTTGGGGGGGGCGTCGTCGCGTGATGCAGGTGTTGAGGCAGAGTGCACTTTGCATGGTTTTGGCAGGGCTGGCTTGCGGGTGCTGGCGTTGCACACAGCACGCAATATGCAGGCCCCCCGCCGCCCTTGCAAAAAACCAGTGCAGAGTGATCGCGGGGAGTCCGCGCAGGATCCAGACCTTGGTGCACAGTACACTCCGTGCTGTCTTTTGAAAGGGATGGTGGCGGGGGGGGGGTTGGCATTGCACGCAGCAGGCCGTATACTGGCACCCCAGCCGTCCTTGTCAGAAACCGATGCAAAGTGATCGCTGGGGGTCCGCGCATGATGCAGACTTGGGGGAACATGTATTTTGCAGTGTTTTCAACAGGGATGGGGGGGGAAGGGTGTGTGTGTGTGTATCAGTGAGGAAGAGCGATGGAGGCACATGCATAGGGATAGGGATACTTATCGGGATATGGATAGAGATAGAGATAGGGATATATGGGAGACAACGGGAGACTGTCGGGTGGGGAAAGGTGTGCGTGTATGTATTAGCGAGGAAGAGCGATGGAGGCACAGGGATAGGGATAGGGATACTTCTCGGGATATGGATCGAGATAAGGATAGGAATGTCGGGGTAGGGATCGTCAATGGGAGACAACAGGAGACAAGATGTTTTAACCTGAGACGGTGGGAGACAATTGGAGGCAGCGTCGCCCGACGCCTTTCGGATCCGGCAGCGCACGCATCAGTTCCTTAAAGGAAGGAGGGAGAAAGGGAGAGACAGAGAGGGGGGGAGAAACATATAATTACCGATGTATCCATCTGTATCTATATATGTGTATATATATATATATAATAGACATATCCGCATACATCTAGAATCCTGGCAGTCACGCTGTTGAGGGACAAACGAAGCCCGTCTCGATCGTGCCTGCGCCGTCGGATGTCTGGCTCGGGGCACGCACCCGCGCCGCCCCACGCCGCGCGGTCGGGAGAGCCCGCTGGCGCGAGAGGGCTCGGATCGCCTCTGCAGGGTCGCCAGCGGGGTGCGCGCGCGCCCGTCGCGCCCTGGGCAGGCCGCTTCGAGCGCGCTCCGCCACGGGGGCCGCCAGCGGGGAGGTTCGCCGCGCCCATCCGGGCGCAGGGCCGCCTCAGAGGGGGCTCGGAGCTTGCTTTTTGTTGTTTTACTTGCATGGCGTTCTCCCCCCCCTTCCCCCCCGCCTCTCCTCGCCCCTCTTCGAATAAACACTGCCATACAAGTGCCTCTCGATTTGCGTGATTTCCGCACGTGCCAGTCGTTTCTGGCTTGCCTCAGGTTCAGGCCCTCCTCCCCCCGTCCATGCAAGCAAATTTCCCAGGATTTGTTTCTTGTTCAGTTTTCAAACCACACACACACAGACACACACACACACACACACACACACACACAACAAGCATAAAACAACACCCTCGGGAGCCGGGGCGCACGTCACGGGGCCGCGCAGCGCGCCGAGCTTTTGCTCCCACCCGCCCGTTTCTCCTCGGTGGTGGCACCCCTGCAACGTTGGTCGGCGGCGGCGCGGCAGCGCGCTGGGCCATCGTAGCCGGAAGGCCGGATCTTGCTGGATCCTTCAAATCCGGGGTTCGACTGAGCCGGGTTTGGGCGCCGTTCGCGGCTTTGGAGGTGGCCTTCCATATAGGTTGAGCGGGGCTTGGGAACCTTCAGAAGTATTGCAGCGCATTTGGGAAATTGGTTGGGCTGGGCTTGCGTGCGGGATTGCCAGGTCTTTCCGCAAGGCTGAGTCTCGAAGGTCGGTTGCTTGTGTTTTTGACCAGATGGGAGGGCCGTCGGAGGTTTCGGGGGGGACGGGGCATCCTGGCGGCGACGTTACTAAAGTGGTGATTCTCGTGGCATTGCCCAGCAGTCGACCTTCGAATATGATTCTCCCCCCACATGTAAACGTTGTTCAAAAGTTTGTGAGTTTTCCATTTTCTAGGCGTCCATGAGGTTTCTCGCCTCGGCATGGATTCCAGTCTGAATCCAGGGCAGAGCGCGACTTCGAGACCCGAAGCCCATAAATCAGGCGACCACACAAAATCAGGGTATCCAGTTCTTCTCTCAACTTTTGTAGTCGGAGGCCAGATTTCGGGCCCTGGGGCCGTCCAGTGGACCAGGATGACAAAGCTGGCTCGTGCAAGGGGGCGAGAAGTCCAAGGGCACACTTATCGGATGCAGGGGGGCGCGATCGAACCGAAGCGGACAACGCCCACTGGGAAATCGGTGTCGTGTTCTTGCCGTGCGTGCGGGCGTGGTGAAGCTGCGCGCGCGGGCCAGAGGCGTGACCCCGCCGTTGCTAGCAGTCGGGGCACATGTATCTCCCACGTCCCGTGGCGTTCCCGCGGTTGTCCAGTGGTTGTCCCGTGGTTCTCCCGATTGTTGTCCCGTTGGTTGTCCCCATGGTTGTCCGATGGTAGATTGCTTGACTGATTGTGACATCGATAGTAGTGAGGCAGGTATATCGACCGAGGTATCGACAACTTGTCTGATTAGTGATATCTATAGCTCGATCGGTTGATCGTTGGATCGATCGGAAGATATATATATATATATAGATATGTATAGAATGTGGGGCCGATGGGAAGACTAATATACACACCGGTTGCGTTGATCGATGGATGTAGGCGTTTTCGATGTCTGCCCCGATTGTAGATTTATTGGTGTATGGTGAAATCGATATATAGATAGTGCCGCCAGAACTTGTCCAGTTCTACAACCGTGTTGTCACTGAGGTCGGTTGATCGGGATACGGTGATACTGTACCGACATCAAAACCTATGAACATCGAATGGTAAATACAAGAAATCGAGGCACGGCGAGTGAAACAGTTTTACATACATCGTGATATCGGTTGGTGGTTGACGAGCTTGGTAACTCGATCGTGATATTGGTAGATCAGTAGACCCAAAGAGGTTGTCCCGACGGTTGTCCCGATGGTTCCTCTATCATTTTTCCCCGAGGGTTCTCTCCATGCTCGGCTGGTTGGTTGCAAGTGGGTCGGTACATGGTAATGTCAATACATACACACATATGTGTATAATATATACATATGTATATATACATGTGTGTATATCGACCCGTAGGTTGATTGTTGTATCGATAGATAAGTAGCATCGACAGATGCAGAGCGTGATCGACACATGGAAAGTTGGATCGGTAGGTAGAAGACAGATAGTGGTATCGGTTGATGGATTGTGGGAACGAACTATATGTAGTGAGGTAGAGACACATCTAGATTGTGATATCCACAGATCGCTGGGCCGATAGAGCTTGTTCCGATTGTCGATGGTTGTGCCGTCGTTGGTTCCACCTTCCCTAACCTCTTTATCGGCCTTTGGCCAGTCCTACAAGTAGATTTGCAAACACACGGCAGGTTACCAGAAGTGATTCTGGCCCAAGATGCAGCCCAAGTTTGTCGCATCATCTTGGACCCCTCTGGGGGCCCTCAGGGCCTCATAAGGGGTGACCCAGAAAAGCTGAGGTCATTCCTGGACAGGGCAGCTTGTGGCAACACCCGAAAACAACGGTTTGACCTCTTTGGAGGCGATGTTTTGCGTTTTGTTCATGATGCGCGGATGTGTTATGGAGCGCCTCAGGGCTTCGAAGCTTGATCCGATGTGGCGCTTTGAGTTTTCCAGTACGGGGGCCTACGAAATCCTGTCCCCTTCTCCACGTCGGCTTTCCACCCTAGGTCGTCTTTGATTACGGTCCTGCACGGGCCCGAAATCGCCGCATCGATCCGTTCAAGACGTTGGGATGTCGTGGTAGTGTGTGCCCTAGGTCGTGGCCAGAAACACGTCCACTATTGCATGTTGTCTTTCTCCACTACATAGTGGCAAATGGCGGCCCACACGCAGTGTATACATTTTTGTTCGACGCCTGTCGCCAGGAGAACGGGCCAGAAATTAGGTCACAAAACGCTGTCTTGTCGCGTTTCCGCGAAGCCCCGCGGGACAGGTCCCGGACACTTTAGTGTATATACGCGGGGTCCAAGGCATGGACAAAGCATTCGAACCTTCGCACTCTTGAGGGTATGTTCATCACCCCCCAGCTCCCGAAATCGATGTTGATTGTCGCATGTGTGATGGTTTGGGGGTTTGAATCGTTTTGTCCATACAGGCCCTCTCCAGCGCCGCACCATCAATATTAATTTGGGGGGTCCGGGGGGGCATCTTGCGCAGTAGGTTTCGAACTCATTGTTCACGCACGGTCCCCGCCGTGCCCCACCAGGGCTTCTCTGGAAGCTTGCGCTCTCCAGCTGCCCACCTCGGGGTAGGGCTTCTTTCCCGCGATCCGCCGTCATGGCCAGATTTCGACGCAGTCTCCAACCTTCGGAGCACAGGGCTCGACGACGTTTCGCCGATCGATGTGTGGGTATCGAGCTAGAGACATCAAATCAAAGTCAATCCAGGGGGACCCTGTCAAATCCAACTCAGTCCAGAGATCCCAAGGGAGGTGTGGAGCAAATCGTGGCCGATCCAGTGCGAGTCGAGGAACGGCAGAAGTCATTAAGCCCTGATCGACTTGGAGCTGTTCTCGAGCTGGATCCACGCGTGACGGCTCCAGGGCGCGAAACCGAGCGGAAACGCCGAGTGTGGACAAAATCAACGATGCCGAGATCTCATTGTTTCAGGCCTCCAAAACGGGGACAGGTCGCGACACATTGCCGATGAATCGGCTGTGCGGCTCGATGTGGAGCCCGGCTTTCTCCACGCCGATGGCGCCGATGCGTCGCCGATGCCTCGACGATGCGGCGCGATCTTTCGACCCCACCAACTCGGACCCCAGTTGGGAGGCCTCCAAGTGCTACTCAAGAGGGCAGGTCAGTTTGAGCCATCTGGGGCTGCCGGGCGCCGTGCAGAGCGTCCTGCATTGGGCGCCCACCACGCGCAGGGGCCGCCTGCTGAGGGCGGGCATGCGCGCCGGCGGCTGGGCGGGGGACGGCGATCGAGTGGGGAAGAACAGCAGATCAGTGGATGTGTGCACGTGCCCACGTCTCCAACGGGTTGGTAACGTCGAGGCGGAGTTCGGTTGGTCGTTTGCTCAGCTCCTGGAGGAGCTCTCAGAGGGCCCGGGGGCGGCCAGAGGCGGCGGCTCGGGATGGCACGCCGGCCTTTGGGAACGCGTCGGGGCTCTCGGGGGGCTCGTGTTGAACAACATCAGTGCCTGTCGGATGTCTGGGCATATGCACGGCAGGTTCGTGCCGTCTCGACGCGGCGGCGGCGTGGGGGTCGAGGGTGTAGTTTCTGCCGGGGCGTTTGTACACAGCCGGCACGAGGGAAAAGAACAACCCCTTTTTTTTCATCTTCCGACCTACCTTGGCCTTGGTGGCCAAAAAGAATTCTGAGCACCGGGAGAGCACCGAAATTTGAGGCGATTGTCGTTCGACTTTTCGCCAGCGTGTCGGGCAGACATTGTTTTTTTTCGAGTTTCGATACCTACCTGACTTTTCGAAATTCTTGTAGGGATGTGGCCCGTAAGTACGATAGGAACAACACAACCCTAGCTTTGGAGGGGTGCCCCCTTCTGCTCTTCGCCTCGGGTTCCTCCTCGCTTTTGGGTACCTCCACGGTGCACCAGGCCCTCCGGCGAATGGGCGCATGCTCTTGATCCTTCGGGGGCAGCGCCAGGGAGAACTGGCTCGGGGGGGGGGGGGGCCTCGCCCCCCAGTCGGCCACGGATCAGAGGAGGAAAAGAGGTGTACCCATACCGCTACTTACCCTTCGCCCGTTTTCCTTTTGTGGCCTCCTGGGCTGCCATCGTCGCCGCCGCTGGATTCGCCTCGACGTGCTGGTCAGACCGCACCCAGGGAGAGGGCCGGGAAGTAGCGGTAATTATCGGTCCCTCTTGATTTCCCCAGTGGATCGCCGATGGGGGCCCGGTAGCCCCGTCCCGCCCAGGACCGTTCGGAGTCGCCATCGGGGGCCAATCGCCGATCAATCGGCGATCCTGCTCCAGCTCGGTGGATCATCCCCCTGGGCCAGCCCCCCCCCCCTCCTTTCACAGCGGAGGCCCGTTCCAAGAGGCACCCTGCTTGCCTCCAGGGTGCCCTGGGCTTCTTGGGTTTCGATGGCCTTGCTGTGGAAAGCGCGGCGCTACCACACCAAAAATCACTGGACGACCTGAGGTCTCGGAGTTGGGCTTCTTGTGGTCTTGTGGAGGGTGTCTTGCGGTCGAGCTCCCAACTGCTGCACAGCCCAGGCGCGGAGACGGGGGCCACGTTGGCCTCGGGAGGGTCTCTGGTGGTCGGGCCCAGGCCCAGGTGGGGGGGCAGCCGACCGGTGGGGCCGAGGCCCGCGGTGGCCAGAGAGGCCCCCCTCCGTTCCTGGCGTGGCGCTCCTCGCACTGCAGCGCGGGGACTGCAGGGGCGCTTCCCCACGGAGGCGTGCCATGAGGCCAGCCGCCCGAGGGGAGGCGTGCCCCCTCAGTCGAAGTCGTCATTCTGTGTGGCTCTTCGTCCGCCGAGGCGAGCGGCTCCTCGAGGACTCCGCCGAGGACACGAGCAGCGTGGGTGCCAGCAGCTGCGAGGAGGTGTCCTCCAACGATGACACCGAGGAGTGCGAGGCGTTCCAGGCCCTCGGCGATCTGGAGGATCTCAAGAGGAAGTTCGAGCATGGCGCCAGGCTGGAGGGCCCAAGCTGGGAGGCCCTCTCGGTTCTGAAGGCGAAGTGGTCGGCCCTCAGCTCTCCTAGCGAGGGGAACCCGGATACACTGTTCCAGATGCTTCGGGTGTTGGGCCCTGAGGCCGCAAGGCTGATGAGGGCCTTGAGTGTGCGCATTCATGACTCGGGCATGATCAAGGGCAGGTCAATCCAATGGGTTTCGCATCGGGCGCAGATTCGCATCGCGCACGGTCGTTTAGATCCAGAAGATTGGGAGGAAGAGGGCGATGGTTGCAGACGGAACACATGGTCGAAGGAGAAATGGATGCAGACTGGGCCTCTGTTGGAAGCGATCGCACCTAGGTATGACAAGAAGGGGGTGATCCAGCGGGACAAGATAACATGGCGAGGGGGATTACCTGGTTGCCAACGTTATACGAAGGTGAAGGTAGACGTACATTGGAGCGGCATGCGTCTGACCGACGACGCGGAAACGTTCCTGAAGATGTGCAATTGCGTGAGCGAGGTCTCTCAAGCTAGCCGCGTGTTCGAGACTCCCCTTGGCGCGGCGCTTGTTCACCTGGCCAAACTCAATTCCTGGCACGTCGTCTTCGTCGAGCGTATCTTCGACTTCAGTTATCCAGGTGCGCCGTCGCGCATATCCCGCCGCAGTGATGGGGGAGGCTTCACAGCAGCGCTGCGGCGTGGCCCGACTGTCGCGTCATAATCGTTGTGTGGCCTCTCGGGGGAGTTGTGGAGGACCCCTGCGGATCTCTCGAGGGCCTCCTTTTTGCGCCTTCTCCCAGGCAGGCCCGTGTTTGGGGTCCCTCGGCCCCTCGGGGGGGGGTCCCTCCGTGAGGTCGTGTGGAAGTCTGGGGACAGGCTTTTGGAATCCTTGGGTTGGGCAGCCTTGCCTCAGACTCGGGGAACATTCGCGGGGGGGGGGGGGAGTGATGAGGAGCAGAGACCGGGCAGGGGCGCGGGGGGCTGGCCGAGGCGACCGAAGCGCAATTTCGCGAAGCAGGACGAGACCCCCAGTGCTGCTCGCGTAGTCGGGGGGGGAACCAGGGGCGACGCACGCTGGCCGCGGCGAAGCGACTGTGGTGGACATATGTATTATCCACAGGATGAGCTTCTTCACCCGGCTTTGCCCTTACACGAGCTGCTTGGAGACGCCGCACGCCAGAGGCATACAGGTGTTCAACATCATCAACATTTCCCATCGTTTGATTGAACTCTGGACTTGTTGGAAAGTATTCGGCACATTCAGACCAGTTCTGACACCGTACTGCTTATTCAATTGGCTCGTAGAGCTTGTGATCTCTCTGTTGCCCCTAAGAATCATGTGGGAAGACTTGAATGGTAACTCCCCCGCGGTGCTTTTGTGCGAGATCCCCGTCGGCTTTGCGTTTGTGACGCTTGCGAAGTGGGTCCAGTTCTCGCTCAAGATCATGACGACGGACATTTTCGTTGACCAAATTATCCACGGCGCATCGCGGCACCACGTCCGGACAGGCTGGGGTTTCACGGAGCAGCCGGAATTATTTGTGTTTTCGTGGACCGACGAGGGGCCGCATTCAGGCCGTCCTGGGCCAGTTGGCCGCACTGGGGCGCGTTTAGTCTTGTCTTGGGCCTTCGAAGCTGTTTGGTGGCGTCCCGGTGAGAGTATTGGGGCAAATTTGAGCGGTTTGGACGCCGAGGCACGTTCTCCGAAGTTGTTGATCCGTTGCTTTGTGGGTCCGGCTAGAAATCCGTAGAAGTGGCTGGACTACACCGAGAGAGAGAGAGAGAGAGAGAGACAGAGAGAAGACACAGTAAAATAGACGCAGGTAGAGGCAGGGCGAGGAGAACATGAACATGACTGGAGACACGAGCTCAGGGTAGCCAGCTTTTTGCTGGATACTTCTAGCGTGTCCGTGGGCCGTTGGAGTGCAGGGTTCTGTCAAGAGGAGGCGACGGCGGAGGATAGGGTGTGAGGGGTGACGAGACCACATAATGAGGACGGACATTGGAACGAGAGAGGGACAGGAAGAGGAGGCGGAGGAGGAGATTTCGTAGACTCTTGAGGCCGTGATTGGCAGATGTGGTGGGGCCTCTTGGAAGCATGTTCGGGATTATTAAAGACGCCTACGGCGAATCACCGCCACACCTTGCCTTTTGGAAATGCCCATGCGGCCAAACGTTCGGCCGAAGTCTGGCCAAGACGTTGGACGATGTGTTCCCCCAGTTGTTGTGGAACCCCTTAGGGGGGACACTTGAGACAGCAAGAGAACGGAGGAGGAGAGGGACGAGAAGGAGGACGACGTTGAGGAGGAGGAGGAGGAGGAGGAGGAGGAGGAAGAGGAGGAGGAGGAGGAAGAGGAGGAATCTTGATGCTCTCTTGAGTCTTCCTGGGGGGCTTCCTGGGAGTTTCTTGGGGGCCTCTGAGGGGCCTCTTGGAAGCCTTCTGGGGCCTCCTGGGGGCCTGAGCTCCTTTGGGGGCCTCTGGGGTCCTCTACGGGACCTCTTGGCCTTCGGAGGCCTCCCTGGGGGCCGCTTTGGGCGGTTGTGGGTCCCCCTCTTGGCGCTGTGGGGCCGTCTTGGAGGTCTATGGGGCCGTATTGGGTGCCTCCTGGGCCGTCTTGGGGCCTTCTTAGATGGTCGTGCGGGCTTTTGAGGGGGCCTCTTGCGCCGTCGTGGACAGTCCTGGAGTGTCGGCGTATGGACAGTCCTGGGGCGATCCTGGCGGCGTATGGACAATCCTGGAGTGTCGGAAGCCAGGAAATGCGAGAACGCTAAAATCAGTCAAAGTCAGAAGTTGAAGGAAATTCCATGGTGTTGGCCTCCTGGAGGTCCTCTTGAATCCCTCTTGGGGCGTCTTGGGGGCCCATTGGGCCGTCTGTAGGGCACCTTGGGCTGCCTCGAGTCCATCTTGGCCGTCTTGGAGGCGTCTTGGGGCCACGTTGTGTTTCCCTGGGGCCACCTCGGCCGTCTCGAAGGCCATCTCGCCCGTCTTCGAGGGCATCTCGGGGCCCTGTTGGAGGCCGACGGGAGACGACCTTTGCGGGTGGCCCTCGCGATCGGCCGAGACCCCACGGCTCTCAGTGCAAACCACAGAGGACCTCAACAAAAACAACGCCCCTCATAGGTCCAGCGCGCCGTGCACCCCTGTGGCAAGCCACGGGGGGCGGCGGATCGAAGACTCCGACGGCGAGTCCTCGCCGCACCCCCCCCCCCGCCTTCTGGAAACGCCCACGCGGCCAAACGTTCGGCCGAAGTCTGGCCAAGCCATTGGACGATGTGTTCCCCAAGCTGTTGTGGAACCCCTTGGGGGGAAACTTGGGACAGGAGGAGAGGGAGGAGGAGGGCGAGGAGGAGGAGGAGGTCGATGAGAAGGAAGAAGAGGAGGCCTCTTGATGCCCTCTTGGGGCCTCCTGTGGGCTTCCTGGGAGCCTCTTGGGAGCTTTTGAGGAGCCCCTTGGGGGCCTCTGGGCCCTCTTTGGGCAGTTGCGGGTCCCTCTTTAGGCGCTTTAGGGCCGTCCTGGTGGTCGATGGGGCCGTCTTGGGGCCGACTTCGGGGCCTCTTGAGCCGTCTTGGGGCCCTCGTGGGCGGCCTTGCGGGCCCCGTGGGGGCCTTTTGGGCATCCTTGGGGGGCCATCTTGGCATCTCGAGTGCATTTTGGGCCGTTTTGGAAACATCTGGCGCCCATCTTGGGTTCTCTTGAGGCCATATTCCACATATTGGAGGCATCTTCGAGGCCATCTTCAATCATCTTCAGTCATCTTCAGCCAACTTCGCCGTCTTGGAGCGGAAAGGCCGACGACATGAGAAGTTTATGAGTCCTCGCGGGGTGCCAGGGCCCACGAAGAACTACGTTTCCTGGTGACCGGCGTAGTAGGCCGGGGAGTTCCCCGTAGGAAAAAAGACCTACAGTTCAGCACGCCGTGCACCCCTGTGGCAAGCATGGGGGGCGGCAGATCGAAGACGCCTGCGGCGAATCTCCGCCGCCTCCTGCCTTTTGGAAGCGCCTGTGTGGCCGAACTTTGTAAGGCCAAAGCTCGGCCAAGCTATCGGATCATGTGTTCCCCCAGCCGTTGTGGAAACGCTTTTCATCGGGCAACACGTCAGGGAGAAAGAAGAAGAGGAGGAGACATCGCTTCGGGCATCCTCACACATATGAGATGTTGTCGACATCTCGCGACTGCGCTAGGGACATCTTCACAAGACTGAAGTGTTGTCGACGTCGTCTTGGTCTCGGTCTTGCGGCGATTCCGCTATAGACATCTTCACACAAATCAGATATTGCCGACGTCGCTCTTGCCCAAACGGACGTGTGAGTTCGCGAGGAAATCCTTCCAATAATGAGGCGTTGTCGACGTCGTCGTTTTGCTGGTCTTGCTCCACATTGCGATTTTGGTAGGGGTATCTTTAACATATTGCATGTTGTCGGCATCGTCTTGGTATCGCTCATGGAAGGCCTCCAGACGGTCCAACAGAGGTCACCATGATGGACCAATAGGACCCCAATATGGCCCAAGATACCCTCCAGATGGCCCCCTGGAAGTTCCACGAATTCCCAAGAGGTCTCCAATTGGATCCAGGAGATGGCGCCACGTGGCACAAATCAGCGACTCCCTTTGGGTCTTTGAGCGTTTTCACGTGTTCATTGTTTCGATGCAACGGTCAGTGGATGCCCCAGTGGAGCAACGCGGAGGACAGATTCGACACATGGTTGGAAGTTGTCAATCGCCTGAAAGCCACCAACGGCGGGCTCTTCGTGGAGGGCTGGAACCATGCCTGCGACAAGCGGGACGGGAAGGGCCACGGCAAGGGGACCTACAACTCCCGCGGCTACGACGACTATAGCCGGGTCTTCATGACCGAATTGGCCAGCGCCTTTTATGACATCCGCGTCCTGCGCCGCAGCCGCAACCTGGACGTCGATTGGCACACAGTGTGGCAGAAGCAGCAGCAGCAGCTAAGCCGGCACAGCGAGGCGGCCAGGAAGGGATACGGAGGCAAGCGGCACAGCGAACCGAATTGGCCCGATGGGGACCAGTCCCGACTGCGCGGCCTCTAGGGACGACCGACAGCTGCGGCGCGGCAGCTTGCACTCCCATTGACGCGACGACTGCCCACCTCGACGCTGACGACTGCGTGGTGCCTTCCAACCCAGGAGGGGGCGCCCGCACCTCCCCCACCTGTCTGCGCAACAGTCAAGTACTTCCCGATTCACTTAGATTTTGACGCTTGGCGGCCGCGTGGCGCCTTCCACCCCAGGAAGTACCCGCTCCCCACCTTTTGACCACTCGTCTGCGCATTAGGCGCTTTCCCTCTGCAGGGGATGCGCAACGCCCGGCAGCCTCCCCTCCTATGGGGGCACCATGCCCTGTCACACACGTCTGCGCACCAGTCAGGCGCTTTCCTCTGGTGCGTTCCCTCCGCCAACGCGCCCGCCGCCCAGCCACAGGCGCGCCATTCATCCCAGGTGGTGCGCCTGAGTGCCCGGGCTGGCCCTTTCTCTCCGCTTGCCGCGCGCCTGCCAGGTGCGCCACAGGTGTCTTCCCATGGGCGCGCCATCCACCCCAGGCGGTGCGCCCGCGTCTGGCACCAGCGCGCCCCGCCCTGACGGTGCGACAGCGCCCGCCCTCCGCCAGCGGACCAATACCCGTCTGATTTGCCCCCCCCCCTTTCCCCGGCGTGTCGGCGTTTCGGCCCGCTCACGGGCCGCGACCCGTGCGCCTGGGGGCCCCCGCCCGCCTGCCTGGTCGCCCCGCCTGCGGGCCACTCCCCCCGCACCGTCGCGGCCCCTCCCCGGTGCTGCGGCCGCCTCGCCCTCCGCGGGTCGCCGTTGTGCGTCGGCGCCCGACCCTGGGCGTGGCCATTGCGTACTGCCCCAGAGCTCAGCAGGTTGGCTCTGCCCCTGCTGGCAAGCTCGTGCTGCCCCACTTGGGGGCCACCGACGTCGCGGTTCACCTCCCGCTTTTGCCTCCCCCCCGCCGGGAGCCTGCGCCCGTGCTACACTTGCACGTGGCGCCGCCCTATCCCTGGCTGTGATGCGTGCGCCGGCCTTGGGACGGCTTTTGCTTCTCCGTCCCCCCCTTCGCCTCCCGCCCCCCGGTCGGCCTGCGCCGCCCGGTGCCGAATGGCGCGCTCCGCCAGTCTTTCGCCCGCCCCGCCTGGCCCGGCGGGCATACCTTCCGGCGATGGCCGCAGCGCCTGCTGCACCGTGCTGGCCTGCCCCGTCCACCGCTGTGCGCCTCCGGTGCCGGCGCCCCGCTTCCCCGCCCAGGCGCCCTGGTCCGCCCGCCGCCCGCTGCCTCCCCCCCCCGGGTTGCTTGGCCTCGCCCGCGCTGCGGCGGCTGGCTCCGCCTCTGGTTGCGCCCACGACTCCGCCCCGCGCCGCTGCCAAGGGCTGCTCGGCAGCCTGGCCGCCGCGTGAGAGTACCCCCTTTCTTTCCCCCCCTTCCCGCGGCCGCCGTCGGCCGCTCCTTCACCTTGCGCGCGGGTCATTTCGCAGCTCCGCAGCCCAGATTTGCTGGACGCGCGAACGCAGCGCCTCTGCCGCGACGGAAAATTCAATTTGCCGACAGGCCAGGACGGGTCAATATGCCGCTGAGATCGCTCCAAGACGGCCCGAAGACCTCCCGAGAGTCACCCAGGCCCAAACGTGAAGAACGCGTAGTGGAAAGCGAGCGGTCCAAGCGGAGCCAACGCGACATTCGGACAGCGGACGGTCCAACCGGGGCAAAAGCATGGTTCTGAAAAGCGGGCGGTTCAAGCAGTGAAAACACACGGTTTGTCCAGTCCCCTTGTGACAGCTTCCCCGAACACAAACGTATGGTCCAAGTTGGGAAAACGCGACATTCGCACAGAGGGCGGCCCAAATCAGGGGAAAAAACGACGTTCAGACAACAAACGGCCCAAACGGCCTAAGAGCGCTTTCGAGATTGCGGACATAGCGGTTCCGATATGGGCATCCTCGAAAGGATAAACAAGTTCCAACATCGCATGCTTAAAAGTATGACTCTAGCGTGATCTTGCAATATCAACAGAGGGTCGTCAAGACGGGTCAAGAGGGCTTGACGACATCCCGAGAGCCTCCCAGGACTGCCTACGAGGGCCCTGGGACGCCCCAAGAATGCGACAAGGGCGCGGGGAAGAGAGGACGTACGAGGCGGAAGAAGAGCGGACCGTCCAGCGACCTCACGCCATCACATAATGTCCGCCCCCGTACCACGAATGTCGAGTGGTTTTCGGCCTATCCGCCACCGTGTCTGAGTAGTGGGTATTGGGGCATGTTCGTTGCCGCTTGGGGGCCCCTTGGGGGCCTCTCAGGGACCACTCCATCCCTCGAAAAAGAAAAAGAGGCAATCCACATGAACTGTTGGCGCTCCGCGCGGATTTTTGGGATCGGCGCTAGGACCCCCCCGGCGGTGCCTCCGGCGCCGCCCCTGGCGCGTTCCGTGCGCCAAGGAGGGGGGCCCTCCAAAAGTTTATGTTTGCACGTTTTTCCTCTTCCATTCCCGACCTCCCACCACAGAAGCAGCGCCCGAGTCTCAGCACAGGCAGTGGCCGCCATCGGCAAACCTCGGGCACCACAGCAGGCGCTAGCCAGGTGCGCGACACCCACGGGGTGCGCCCCGCGTGCGGGGGCACCCCCGTCATCACGGTCAGAGAGGTGTGCAGACTGATCGCGGGGCGCCAACGAATGGTCGAAGGTGCTGCCCCAACGTGCGCTTGGCATCTCGTTGTGCCAGGGATGGAGGGCCTGCGCACGTGGGGCAATATGGATAGTAACACCCCCGTCGTCCATGTCAAACGACAATGTAGAGTGATCGCGGGACGCCCGAACATGACCCTGATGTTGCCGCAAAGTGCATTGGTTTTGGCAGGGATGGCCTGTGTGTGCATGGTCCTTGGTTTGTCGCTGTTCGGGTGGAGGGAAGGTGTTTAATCATAAGGATCATCGTTAATCCCCCCGAAGAGGAAGAAGAGGAGAGGATGGATGACGAAACACTCGAAATCACCTCAGCCCAGAGGGCTGGTGTGATGTAAGGAGGATTGTGGCTTCGGGAGCGCGACCGCGCCGTAAGTTACATGAGATTATGGTCTCGGGGGCGCGGGTCAGTTGTAATTCGCGAAGGAATGCGGCACCGGGAGCGCGAACACACCGCATTTCACGAGGGATTGGTTTCAGCAGCGCCATCGCGCTGTGCTTTACTGGTGGGCTGTGGCCTCAGGGACGCAAGCCTCTGTTAAGATACGCGGGACTGCGGCATCAGCAGCGCGAGTCTGTCGTATGTTACGTGTTTTGGTGGTCCCATGCATTCTGAGGGCGTGGTCTTTGGGGTTGGAACCAGCTGATGTTCTGGCTCGCCCCCTCGCGCAGACTTCAAGCATCACAACACTGGAATTAGGAAGTAGATTGCAATCCTCATTTGGGAACTGGAACTGGCGCAGGGATCTGGACAGCCTCGTCCTCCAAGCGGGTTGCCCCCGAAAAGGGGCCCGCGGTTTGCAGCCCTTCACGCGGTGCTGGGCCACGAATCCCTCTCGTTCATATTCTCGCTGATCTTGCTCAGCGTGGGTCCAATACTCGCCTACATGAGCCTTCCCGTCCAAATCGGATGGTCAGAGTTGCGTGACGAGGGATATTTTGCCCCATACAAAAAAGCAATGACCCAGATCCTGCCGATGATTTTGCTCGGCGATGTTGATCAAGACCATTTGGCTGGTTACACGCAGCGCGTCAATTCCACTGATGGCTCTATCCAGACCGTCCGTGATAATGAGCACCTCAAGGAAAACATGCCCACCTTCATGATTGTGTCTTGCTTCATTTTCTCCGTCATCCTTTTAAATTTATCGAAGACGCCTACGGCGAATCACCGCCGCCCCCTGCCTTTTTGGAAGCGCCTATGTGGCCGAACGTTGAGGCCAGACCTGCCAAGCTATCGGACCACGTGTTCGCCGAATCGGTTTGGAAAGCCTTCGGGGAACACGTGGGCATCTTGAAGGTCATCTTGGCCGTCTTGGAGGCCTCTTGGGCAAGCTTTGGGCGATCTTTGGGGCTTTTTGGGCCGTCTCGGGCCAGCTTCGAGCCAACTTCGGCCATCTTGGTGGGTTCCTGGCACGTCTGAAGCCGTCGGAAGCCGTTTGGGGGGCCTCTATGGGCCGACTTGGGGCCCGCTTGGAATGCTCCAGGGCCGTCTTGGAGGCCATCTTGGGCGTCTGGGAGGCCATCTTGGGCGTGTTGGAGGCCTCTTGGGCCCTCTTGGGGCCCTCTAGGGGCCATCTTGGAGGCCACTTGGGCCATCATGGGGCTCTCTTGGGGGCCTCTTGGGCGATCTTGGGGGCTTCTTGGGCCGTCTCGAGCCGTCGGAGAGCCGAAAAGGCGCAAATGCCAAAATCCTTCAAAAACCAAGGAAAATCAATGATTTTGGCCTCTTCGGACTCTCCTGGAGGACCTCTTGGAGGCCTCTTGGGCCGTCTGGGAGGCCTCTGGGGGGCCTCTTGGGCCGTCTTGGGCCGTCTTGGACTCTCTTGGGCCGTTTTGGAGGCCGTCTTGGACCATCTCGGGCGGACTTGGAGGCCATCTTGGGCCATCTTCGCGATTTTTTGAGGATGTCCCGAGCGAAACGGCCGTTTTTTGGAGGATTTTTTTCCGGATTGAGGTCCTTTCGGCTTCCTCCCGGGACCCCGGCGGGACGGGCCGGAGCCCACTGGGGAGTTCTTTTAGAAAAAGAACCAAAACCAAAACCAGCTCATCCAGCACGCCGTGCACCCCTGCAAGCAGGGGGCGGCGGATCAAATAACCTTCGGCCCGTCCCGCCACGGTACCTGGGTTGGGGGTCCGACGCACCTTGGATTTGGGATCTCTTGAGATGCTTCTCGGGAGCCTCTTGAAGACCTCTTGGGGGCTTCTTGTGGCATCTGGGGCCTCTCTGGGAGCCTCTTGGGGGCCTCTCGGCGGTCTCGCGGGCCACCTTGGAACAAGAGGGCTCGTGGGGGGCAGTTCAGGTTCTCCCCTCTTGGGCCGAAAACCTCCGACAACAATCTGCCTGTCATCAATGTGTTTTAGCGTCAAGGAAAAATATCGCGGGGATTCTTGAGAGCGCCCAGAGCACCCAATAGCGCCTGGGAGCGCCTGAAACATGGGACTCGGGGCCCCTGAGCGTATTCACAAGACTCGGTGCAGATAAATCCGAATGGACCTAAGGTCACTCCACTCAGTGCCTACGGCAAGGAGGCGGATACATAGGAATACTCAGCAATGCGTACGACAAGGCGGTTGAGAATCTTACTCAGCTGAAAGGTCGGCACATCATTGTGACGAATTTGGGTCACCTCCTGTTCAGGCATTGGTTCCTACGCGGCTGGATCCCCCGCGGGATTTTCAGAAACACCCGCAGTTTTTCTGTTGGCGATCCGTCTGACCATGGTCTGTATGATATTGGTGGTTTGTGGTTCTCCGTGCCACATCCAAAGACCTACAGATTGTAGCGAAGTGCATGCCCAACTTGAGCGGAGGGATTGCTGATTAGTATCGGCCTCGCCCCTGCTGCATGTCTGGAGGCCGTCGTCGAATCCGCGGCGCGAAAAGCAGATGCAGCACAACAGGGGCGGCAGCGGTAGATAAGATGGGACGGAAGGATAACCATAGCGGGTGAGAGGGAAGGAGAGAGCGAGAGAGAGAGGGAGAGTGAGAGAGGGGAGGCACACACACACAGACACACACACACACAAACATTTACACTTACACTTACACTTACACGCACACATACACACACAAACATTTACACTTACACACACACACACACACGCACACACACGTGTTGCACCAGCGGCCGAGTGAGGTCACCACGGCGATAGCCAGCATGGACGCACTTTTGGGCGGCCGCCTACGGCCTTGCGCGCAGCGACGATGTGGATAACGTCATCCGAGCAGCTAGAGAAGGCGCGCGGCCAGCCCCCAAGTGACACACACACACACACACCTTTTTCGTCGGTGACGAGGCAAGTATTGCGCCAGCCAGCGGCGATCCTGGGCGACCGACACGCGAATTAGCCGGCGTGCAACACACGCAAACACAATACACACACATTCACACACACACACGCACACACACACGTTGGGAGCCTGGGCGGCGGCGGCGACGGCCCCATACTCAAGCAGTGGCGAAGCGTCCTAGCTCTCCTATAGGCCCACCAAATTCTAAGAACCTATTGTGGTCTGCACGACATGTTCTTAGAACATTTCTGGCTGGGACTGCTTTGTTTGAACACATCGGGCTTATGTTCTAAGAACCTTGTTTTTGTGTTTAGAACATTGTGGGGCTCTACGAAGATTTCGTGGTAGGCCTATAGGGATGCCAGGACGGTCGGTCCCTGCTCAACGTACATTCGACGCCTTGCCTTCTTCACTAGGGGGTCCCCGGACTCCCTGGCCCCTTTCCCGGTCCTGGCGAGGGCCCGTGGGGGCCACAAGCCTAGAAAACTCTGCACATCTTTTCGATTACACGTAGGAGTCACCTTTGGTGCGGGCGCACTGGGGACCCCAGATGATTGAACGCGATGCGACGGCAGCGGCTTTCGCTTTCGGGTTTGGCCTCCGTGCGCGCCCCCCCCGTAAGCCGCGCACCAACGGTTTTTTGCCTGGGGGCACTCTTGCGGGTAGCCAGATTGTATGTCTTTGTAAGGGGCAACGATAGGGGGGAGGGGGGGATAGGCATAGGGGGGGATGCATCGACCCCCGATCGCCCACTGATCGCCGATAGGGGTCCGATAGCCCAAACCTGCCCAGGAGAGTGCGGAGTCACTATCGGGGGCCAATCTCCGATGTACCGGCGACGTATCGCCGATTCTAGGTCGGTGTGTCCCCCCACCCTGGCCGTCCCCCCCTATCGTGCGACTAGGGGATCGACTACAGTGGATACTCATGCCAAGAAAAACCCTGCTCGCCTACAGGGCCCTGGGTTTCTTGGGTTTCGATGGTTTTGCTATGGAACGCGTGACGTTCCCACACCAAAAATCAATGGACGTCCTGGGGTCTCAGGGTTGGGTGGTTTCTTGTGGAAGGTTTCTTGTGGTCGGGCCCCGACTGTACAGAATTGACTTACCCCGAAGTTGGTTTTTCCCCGTCGCATCGACGAGAGGTGCGTAGAATGCTCCGCAGATCTCGGGGTCATCCTGCGCTTGCCGCGCAGATTCGACAGAAAAGCACAATGCATTTTGAGGCGCATCAATTCTGCAGGCAATCCCCTACTCGAATCGTTGCCCCTCACTCCGCTGTCTGCCCGCACGTCTGGGGGCCCGGGCCGCATCGGCGGCGGCGCTGCGCGGCTGCGGGACACCGAGCGGCGGGCCCCCCCCCCCCGCAGGCGCCGCGGACGCCCGGCTCCCCCCCGGCCAGCGCCGCCGAGGCGCGGGCGCCGGGCGGCAACCCGCCGGGGAGGCTCCCAGAATGCCAAGAGTTAAGTCGGGCATGTCCCTCTACAGGAGGAATGTTCAAAGATAGTCAACAGTAGCTTGGGAACGATTTCTGGCGTATTCTTGATCATTTTTGGGATAGTGTTTGACTCTTTTTTATGGTTCGTCCAAAATCCCCGTGTAGGGGGGACAGGCCCGACCTAAGCCAAGAGCCTGTGTGAATGTCACACTACACTCAAGAAGCAGTTTGCTAAAGGCCATCCATGGACGCGTATGCACTGTTTCCCCTTGCCCAGCGCATCGCGCCTGCTGACGCGGTTTGGCCTGGCTGGCGCTCCGGCCCCCCGCACGCCGTGTCCGCAGAGGTAAAAACCGCATTGGGTTCGGGAGGGGCTCGCTGTTCCCTAGGCCATTCATTCAGTGTTTGTTCCTCGGGCCCTCATCGTGCACCCGGGCTGTCTTGATGCCAGAATGGGGCTTCCTAGCCCGCCGAGCACGGGAGTTGTGTGCCTGCAGTCTCTGTGCGCCCTGTGGCGCCTGCGCACTTGCGAGAGAAGGGGTTCGCCTCAATGGATCCAGAGCCAGACGGGCGCCAGCGCACTACGCAGCAGTACCAGAGTTGCTCAGTTGACGACATGGTGGATCCGATGCGGTAACAAATCATGGGAACCTTGTGTGCTCTCGTACTTCTATATTGAGGGTGCACTTGCGTCGACTAGCGTCTGGTAGTCGATGCGATAGTGCCGGTTAAGCGTCGATTAGCGTCGATTTAGTGTCGATTGCCGTCGATTTAGCTTCGATTAGTGTCGACGAGCGTCGATTCGCAAGAGCCAGCAAGGTGGTATGGGAGGCTCCCGTGAGGTGCCGCAGGCATTGTCTGCCTGTGTCGGGGGGTCCATCGCAGATCCAAGGAATCCGCGCGGAGCGCCAACAGTTTATGTTTATGGCGTTTTCTTTTATTTCTTCGAACAGGGTTCGCTGTGGGCGTCGTCGCGGGCGTTGTCCATTCGAGACAGAAGGCCGCCTGCCCAACAGCGGCCGCTGTCGGCTCTTGGACAAGACTTGCTGTTGGGCACCGTACTCTTGCTTGCCCGTGTCCACTTCGGGCGTCTGCTAGCAGCAACGGTGCGGAGGCGGGGGGTCCAGGAGCAGGCGGTCGGCTGGCGAGAATGATTATATGGCCTCGCAGAACCATCGGGGCCACCATCGGGATCACCATCGGGATCACCATTGGGATCACCGTCGGGACCACAGTCGGGACCACCATCGGACCCACCACCGGGACAACCATCGGGACAACCATCGGGACCAGTATCGGGACAACCGTCGGGACAACCGTCGGGACAACCATCGGGTCCACCGTCGGGACCACCATCGGGACCTGTGGAGTCTGTGAGGTCTGTGTGACCTTCGAGACCTGTGGGGCCTGGTGGACTTGTGGGACCTCTGGGACCTGTGCGGACCTGGTCCTCCCGGACCTCCATGAGAACTCTCTAGGGAAGCGCTGTTACGGAAAACTTGATCCTCCGCCTCGTCCTCCCTCGTCCACTTCCTCTCTCTCTCTCTATCTCTCTCTCTCTCTCTCTCTCTCCCTCTGTGACTCTCTCTCTCTCTCTCTTTCTCTGTCCTCCCCCTCCTGCACCTTCTCCACCTCGTCCTGCTCCTGCTCCCTCCCTCTCCTTTCCCTCCCTCTAATTACCTCGCCCCCAACCTCGGGGTGGTCGAACCTCCCCCCGCCCGGCGCCATCCCTGGGCATCCGCTCGGGTCTGCAGCTGCTGGTGCTTGTGTGCCTTCTTCTCTTGTCCAGCGCACGCTCCGCTTTTGCATGCCTCCTTCGTTGCTGCCCTCTCGTCGCCCTGCTGCTCGACTAGCTCGCCCTTCACCTGGGACCGCACAGTTGGGCTTTGGCGCGTCCACCACGTCCGCGGATGCAATTAATGTTGCGCCCCACGCTGGACTGCACGCGTTCGTGAATTTCACAACATCGTTTCTCCTGACGAAAGAGCAGAAAGAGAATTTCCGTCCTCCGCCCCTGCAGAGCCCCTCTGTGTCCATGGCCGAGCGCCAGTCGGCGAACGGATGAGGGTTTCGTCCTTTATGTTAAGTGGGTAGAGGCCGCGACCTGCAATAGCTTCGGCCGGGCGCGGTGGGGATCACAGGCGCTTGCTTCAGCGACTCGACAAGAGGAGGAAGGCACACCTACACATCCAACGCGTTGATCTGCTCCATACGGGTTTCCGGGAACTCCCGACCTCAAGCTCCCCATCATTTTCTCATGGCCAGCTTTGCGCCCCGAGCCGATCCAAAAAGGCCCCAGGAGGCCGGACAGTATGATGAAATCAAGTGCCGTTACTTGTTCAAAACGCTGGAAGTCTGCGTAGGCAGCAGAGGAGCCTCCACGAGGGCCTGCGACAGCCGATGCTCGTGTGGGAGATCCTCCCTGCAGGGTGGAGGACACAAACACCACTCGAGGCATTGCCGTCCGTTTCATGGAAGCGCGAAGTTGGCATTCGCGGCAGTAGTGTTGTAGCATGTGTAGTTGTAGCCGTGTAGCAGCAGCGGTAGTCGTAGTAGTTGTAGTAGTAGTGGTAGTCGTCGTCGTCGCCGTCGTCGTCGTATTCGTTGTATTATTAATAGTAGTAGTCGTAGTAGTAGTAGTAGTAGTAGTAGTAGTCGTCGTCGTCGTCGTCGTCGTCGTCGTCGTCGTCGTCGTAGTAGTAGTAGTAGTAGTAGTAGTAGTCGTAGTAGTAGTCGTAGTAGTAGTCGTAGTAGTAGTAGTCGTAGTAGTAGTAGTAGTAGTAGTAGTAGTAGTAGTAGTAGTAGTAGTAATAGTAGTAGCAGTACTAGTAGTAGCCGTCGTCGTAGTATTAGTAGTCGTAGTCGTAGTAGTAGTAGCAATAGTAGTAGTACTAGTAGTACTAGTAGTAGTAGTAGTAGTAGTTGTTGTCGTAGTAGTCGTAATAATAGTAGTAGTAGTAGTAGTAGTAGTAGTAGCAGTAGCAGTGGTAGTCGTAGTAGTAGTAGTAGTAGTAGTAGTAGTAGTAATAATAGTAGTAGCCGTAGTCGTAGTAATTGTAGTAGTAGTAGTAGTAGTAGTAGTAGTAGTAGTAGTTAGTTCGTAGGCTACCTGCAGCCAATAGTAGTAGTAGTAGTTGTAGTTGTTTGTTATCGT